TAAAAAATACAATACAATACAGTGCAATGCAGTGCAATGCAATACAATACAATACAAAATACAAAATACAAAATACAAAATACAATAAAAATACAATACAGTGCAATGCAATGCAATGCAATACAATACAAAATACAAAATACAATAAAAAATACAATACAATACAGTGCAATACAGTGCAATACAATACAATACAAAATACAATAAAAATACAATAAAAATACAATAAAAAATACAATACAGTGCAATGAAATGCAATGCAACACAATACAATACAAAATACAATACAATATACAATACAATACAATACAATACAATACAATACAATACAATACAATACAATACAATACAAAATACAAAATACAAAATACAATAAAAATACAATAAAATACAATAAAAATACAATACAGTGCAATGAAATGCAATGCAATGCAATACAATACAAAATACAAAATACAATAAAAAATACAATACAATACAGTGCAATGCAATACAATACAATACAAAATACAAAATACAAAATAAAAAATACAATAAAAATACAATACAGTGCAATGCAATACAATGCAATACAATACAAAATACAAAATACAATAAAAACATACAATACAATACAGTACAATACAGTGCAAATACAATACAATACAAAAATACAATAAAAATACAAAACAATACAGTGCAATACAATGCAATACAATACAATAACAATACAATACAATACAATACAATACAATACAATACAAAATACAAATACAAAATACAAAAATACAAAATACAATAAAAAATACAATAAAAATACAATAAAAAATACAATACAGTGCAATGCAATGCAATGCAATACAATACAAAATACAAAATACAATAAAAAATACAATACAAAATACAATACAATACAAAACAATACAATACAATACAATACAATACAATACAATACAAATACAAAATACAAAATACAAAATACAATAAAAATACAATAAAAATACAATAAAAATACAATACAGTGCAATGCAATGCAATGCAATGCAATACAATACAAAATACAATAAAAATAAAATACAATACAATACAGTGCAATACAATAAACAATACAATACAATACAATACAATACAAAACAATACAAAATACAAAATACAAAAAAATAAACAATAAAAAATACAATACAGTGCAATGCAATGCAATGCAATACAATACAAAATACAAAATACAATAAAAATACAATACAATACAGTGCAATACAATGCAATGCAATACAATACAATACAAAAATACAAAATACAAAATACAATAAAATACAATACAATGCAATGCAATACAATGCAATACAATACAAAATACAAAATACAATAAAAAATACAATACAATACAGTGCAATACAATGCAATGCAATACAATACAATAACAATACAATACAAATACAATACAATACAATACAATACAATACAATACAATACATTACAAAATACAAAATACAAAATACAAAATACAATAAAAATACAATAAAAATACAATACAGTGCAATGCAATGCAATGCAATACAATACAAAATACAAAATACAATAAAAAATACAATACAATACAGTGCAATACAGTGCAATACAATACAATACAAAATACAATAAAAAATACAATACAATACAGTGCAATACAATGCAATGCAATACAATACAATAACAATACAATACAATACAATAACAATACAATACAATACAATACAATACAATACAATACAATACCATACAAAATACAATAAAAATACAATAAAAATACAATAAAAAATACAATACAGTGCAATTAAATGCAATGCAATGCAATACAATACAAAATACAATAAAATAAAAAATACAATACAATACAGTGCAATACAATGCAATACAATACAATAACAATACAATACAATACAATACAAAACAATACAAAATACAAAATACAATAAAAATACAATAAAAATACAATACAGTGCAATGCAATGCAATGCAATACAATACAAAATACAAAATACAATAAAAAATACAATACAATACAGTGCAATGCAGTGCAATGCAATACAATACAATACAAAATACAAAATACAAAATACAAAATACAATAAAAATACAATACAGTGCAATGCAATGCAATGCAATACAATACAAAATACAAAATACAATAAAAAATACAATACAATACAGTGCAATACAGTGCAATACAATACAATACAAAATACAATAAAAAAATACAATACAATACAGTGCAATACAATGCAATGCAATACAATACAATAACAATACAATACAATAACAATACAATACAATACAATACAATACATTACAAAAAACAAAATACAAAATACAAAATACAATAAAAATACAATAAAAATACAATAAAAAATACAATACAGTGCAATGCAATGCAATGCAATACAATACAAAATACAAAATACAATAAAAAATACAATGCAATACAATACAATACAATAACAATACAATACAATACAATACAATACAATACAAACAATACAAAATACAAAATACAATAAAAATACAATAAAAAAAACAATAAAAAATACAATACAGTGCAATGCAATGCAATGCAATACAATACAAAATACAATAAAAATAAAAATACAATACAATACAGTGCAATACAATAACAATACAATACAATAAAATACAATACAAAACAATACAAAATACAAAAAAATACAATAAAAATACAATAAAAAATACAATACAGTGCAATGAAATGCAATACAATACAATACATACAAAATACAAAATACAATAAAAAATACAATACAATACAGTGCAATGCAGTGCAATGCAATACAATACAATACAAAAATACAAAATACAAAATACAAAATACAAAAAAACAAAATACAATAAAAATACAATACAGTGCAATGCAATGCAATGCAATACAATACAAAATACAAAATAAAATAAAAATACAATACAATACAGTGCAATACAGTGCAATACAATACAATACAAAATACAATAAAAAATACAATACAATACAGTGCAATACAATGCAATGCAATACAATACAATAACAATACAATACAATACAATACAATAACAATACAATACAATACAATACAATACCATACAAAATACAATAAAAATACAATAAAAATACAATAAAAAATACAATACAGTGCAATGAAATGCAATGCAATGCAATACAATACAAAATACAATAAAAATAAAAATACAATACAATACAGTGCAATACAATGCAATACAATACAATAACAATACAATACAATACAATACAAAACAATACAAAATACAAAATACAATAAAAATACAATAAAAAATACAATACAGTGCAATGCAATGCAATGCAATACAATACAAAATACAAAATACAATAAAAAATACAATACAATACAGTGCAATGCAGTGCAATGCAATACAATACAATACAAAATACAAAACACAAAATACAAAATACAATAAAAATACAATACAGTGCAATGCAATGCAATGCAATACAATACAAAATACAAAATACAATAAAAAATACAATACAATACAGTGCAATACATGCAATACAATACAATACAATAACAATACAATACAATAACAATACAATACAATACAATACAATACAATACAATACATAACAAAATACAAAATACAAAATACAAAATACAATAAAAATACAATAAAAATACAATAAAAATACAATAAAAATACAATAAAAAATACAATACAGTGCAATGCAATGCAATGCAATACAATACAAAATACAAAATACAATAAAAAATACAATGCATACAATACAATACAATAACAATACAATACAATACAATACAATACAAAACAATACAAAATACAAAATACAATAAAAATACAATAAAAATACAATAAAAAATACAATACAGTGCAATGCAATGCAATGCAATGCAATACAATACAAAATACAAAATACAAAATACAATAAAAATACAATACAATACAGTGCAATACAATGCAATACAATACAATAACAATACAATACAATACAATACAATATAATACAAAACAATACAAAATACAAAATACAATAAAAATACAATAAAAATACAATACAGTGCAATGCAATGCAATGTAATGCAATACAATACAAAATACAAAATACAAAATACAATAAAAAATACAATCAATACAGTGCAATGCAGTGCAATGCAATACAATACAATACAATACAATACAAAATACAAATACAATAAAAATACAATAAAAATAATACAATACAGTGCAATGCAATGCAATGCAATGCAATACAGTACAAAATACAAAATACAATAAAAAATACAATACAGTACAGTGCAATACACTGCAATGCAATACAATACAATACAATACAATAACAATACAATAACAATACAATACTTTATTGGCTAGGTGTGATTGGACACACAAGGAATTTGTCTTTGGTGCATATGCTCTCAGTGTACATAAAAGAAAAGATACATTCATCAAGAATCATAAGGTACAACACTTAATGATAGTCATAGAGTACAAATAAGCAATCGAATCATACTAGGAAGCAATCAATATAAATCGTAAGGATACAAGCAACAGGAGGTGCCCGTTCCTAGTGCACACATACGCAGAGCTGCCAGAAGGCAAGAGCAGCTAAAGCAAAAAGGGCGACTCGGGAGTAAGGTTAAGAGATGATTGGCCCCTCCCATAAGGCTTAAAAGAGCAGCAACAGCCCTTGGGCTCTTTGTCAGAAAACAACGTTGATAGATTTGTTTCTTGCCTTGCTGCATTTATTTCTTGTCGGCGTCTCCTGCTTCTGAACTTTTGCCAAGAAAAGCCTTTGGCAGGTTGCCTAATTAGACCAAGGTTGGTGATGTTATGAAGAATTTGTTTTGAATTAGTTTGGACTACACTGAGAATGAGTTAATTCTCAGCTGTTCTAATAAAGTCTGTTTGTTTCGAACTGATTGCGTCTGATAATACCTACTTGGGCCTGGGTCACAACAGTATTAATCACCTCTTCTCTCCCATTTTTTGCTTTTCAGAAGCCTTTGAAATGGTCGTGCGCCACGCCAGGAACCACACCAACTCCATGTTCAGGAACTACTTTCGCCACGTGGCTGCCAGGACTTCTAAACTAGTGGGGGAATTCTTCACCGACATCTCCCTCTACATCTTGGGCTCCGATATCAACGTCAACGACATGGTCAACGAGTTCTTTGACAGCCTGTTCCCCTTGATCTACCCCCACCTGATCCATCCAGGGGCCCCCGACCCTCCTGTGGAGACCCTGGAGTGTCTACGGCTAGCCCGGCGAGACTTGAAGGCGTTTGGCCCCTTCCCCAAAATCATGATGACCCAGGTGTCCAAGTCCCTGCAGGTCACCCGGCTCTTCCTCCAGGCGCTCAACCTCGGCATCGAAGTGGTCAACACCACCGATCACTTGAGGTTCAGCAAGGAGTGTGGACGGGCGCTCCTGAAGATGTGGTATTGCCCCCAGTGCCAGGATCTGCTCCTGGCCAAGCCGTGTGCGGGATTCTGCGGCGGGGTGTTGCAAGGGTGCTTGGCCAGCGTGGTGGAAATCGACGGTCACTGGCGGGAATATCTCCGCTCTCTGGAAGGCATGGTGAAGGGCATGAAGGGCACTTACGACGTAGAACACGTGCTCCTCAACCTCTTCTCTTTGGTTCAGGACGCCATCGGTTACATGCAGAAGAACGCTGGGAAGTTGGTCACAACTGTAAGTTCTTCTTATACTAGAGCTGTTGGTTAGTCCATGGGGTACCAATGTTACAGGATGTGTCTGTCTGTCTGTCTATCTACCTACTTATCTGCCTATCTACTTTGTCTGTTTCTGTCTGTCTGTCTGTCTGTCTCTATCTACATATCTATCTATCTATCTATCATCTCTCTCTCTCTCTCTCTCTCTCTCTCTGTATCTCTGTCTATCTATCTATCTATCATCTCTCTCTCTGTATCTCTCTCTCTCTCTCTATCTGTATCTCTCTCTATCTTATCTCTCTATCTATCATCTATCTATCTATCATCTATCTATCTATCTATCTATCTATCTATCTATCTATCTCTCTCTCTCTCTCTGTATCTCTGTCTCTATCTATCTATCTATCTATCTATCTATCTATCATCTCTCTCTGTATCTCTCTCTCTCTCTCTATCTGTATCTCTATATCTATCTCTATCTATCTATCTCTCTATCTATCATCTATCTATCTATCATCTATCTATACTATTTATCTATCTATCTATCTATCTATCTATCTATCTATCTATCTATCATCTCTCTCTCTCTCTGTATCTCTATCTCTTCTATCTATCTATCTATCTATCTATCTATCTATCTATCTATCTATCTATCTATCTACAGACCCCTCACATCCTGGACATCAACTGTTTCAACTCCTATCCTCAAAACGATGCTATAGGGCACTGCACACCAGAACAACTAGACACAAGGACAGTTTTTTCCCAAACACCATCACTCTGCTAAACAAATAATTCCCTCAACACTGTCAAACTATTTACTAAGTCTGCACTACTATTAATCTTCTCATCGTTCCCATCGCCCATCTCCTCCCACTTATGACTGTATGACTGTAACCTTGTTGCTGGTATCTTTACGATTTATATTGGCTGTTTCCTAATATGATTTGATTGCTTATTTGTTCCCTATGACTCTCATTAAGTGTTGTACCTTATGATTCTTGATGAATGTATCTTTTCTTTTATGTACACTGAGAGCGTATGCACCAAGACAAATTCCTTGTGTCCAATCACACTTGGCCAATAAAGAATTCTATTCTATTCTATTCTATTCTATTCTATTCTATTCTATTCTATTCTATTCTATTCTACTCTACTCTACTCTACTCTACTCTACTCTACTCTACTCTACTCTACTCTACTCTATGCTTTGGCTGATGGGTTTCCATAAAGATGTGGCCCAGGAGAGGACATTAGCTCTTTAACCAGCATCTTTGTCCCTCTGAAGAAGACTTGGAGGCAGCTGAGATCATCTTGTAGGTCATGGTATGGCAGGATTATGGACCGTGAAAGGTTCCCAATTTTTCTTTCCCCTGCTCTTAATTTTAAGATGACGGCTTGATAAATGTGGTCGGCTGCAAGTCATCCTTTTTATCGGAAAGAAGGAAATGAGGCCGATCTTAATTTTCTCCCATCCCAGGAAGCTCTCAAAGAGCCCGACCTGCCTTGGTCTCCTTTCTCCGCTGGCTGCTCTCCTCCGAAGGGAAACACACCTGTCTTGGGCTCTTTCCTTTCGGAGGATTCCAGCATGGCATTTCTGCAAGTAATAATGAAATTGAACCTCGGAGTTCGCTCTGAATGATGCCCGCTTTCTGCAGAAAGACTCTTAAAATGTGAACTCCATTTGGGAGGACCGCATGGACAGACCCATGTCCAGTGGTGGGATTCAATTTTTTTTACTACCAGTTCTGTGGGCGTGGCTTGATGGGCATGGCTGGGGAATGATACTGTAAAATCTCCATTCCCTCCCCACTCCAGGGGAAGGTTACTGCAAAATCCCCATTTCCTCCTGATCAGCTGGGACTCGGGAGGCAGAGAATAGATGGGGATGGAGCCAGTCAAAGGTGGTATTTACCGGTTCTCCGAACTACTCAAAATTTCTGCTACCGGTTCGCCAGAACTGGTCTGAACTGACTGAATACCACCTCTGCCCATGTTACTTCCCCGGCAATAGCACGAAAACGATTGGTCCTTCCAAGAGAAAGATGGGTAGGCAGGTCTTCCTAAGTTCTTGGTGGTCTCCCTCGCTTGAAGGATAGGAATCCAGGCCCAACCATGCTTAGCTTCTCATCATCCAGGTTTAGCTAGATGAAGTCTCCAGCAATCTGAGCTTGACTCATTCTGGCTGTGGGGATGCGTCCAAATAATTTACTTTTCAGCAATAGGCATGTTGGTTACTTTTGGATCCTTCTAAGACAATGTTTCTCAACCTTGATGGTTTTAAGATGTGTGGACTTCAATTCCCAGAATTCCCCAGCCAGCAACGCTCCAACTTCTCCCATTGGCTTTGCTTGTTGGAAGCCCCCTCCCTACCCACCCACCCCCGGGGAAGGTTGCAAATAGTGACCTCCATGCTGTCTGGGGAATGCTGGGAGTTGAAATCCACCTGCCTTAAAGTTTGGAAATGCTACTGTAACCTGAATGAAGCCATGAAGGGGAGGTTGATGGAGGATTTCTACAGCTCTCTAATTGCAAGACATTAGCTGCTTTTGGGGGGGAGGGCGAGGGGGCGGAGGGAAGGCAGGTGATTTTAAGCAAATGGCTTTTCTGTGCTGGCGTTAATAACTCGTGAACAATTTACTGGTACATTAAAGGTAAACAAAGATTCAAATGAATAACCAGGGGAGAGTCTTGATTAAGACACTACCGGTAAAAGAACGCGTCAGGTGCTTCATTGTTCTGTTGCAGCACAACGTGTTGCAAAAAACCCGCAAGGAAGAAATGCAACTTCCCGCCAGCCCGTAAAAGAAGAAGAGTTAGGAAGGCAGCTCACCAACCCCGTTTTCCCAAAGAGGCTCAGATCTATTTTGGTCTAAATGGCTCCCAGGCAATTGTTCGTAGGAGCAGCTTGGAGTGGGAAGCCTAATAAATAATAATGGCCTGCGATGAAATCACTTCAATTTGTACAGGAAGAGGAGAAAAGATGGGTTATTAGGAGATTTGTCTATTAACCTCTCGGGGAGACGAAGGCAGGGGTGCAGGAGGTGCCAGGGGCATTCTCACACCGTGTCAACTTTGCGGGAATAACCGCTAATTGTAGCGTGTGCAAAAATGCATTTTTGTGTGGATTCACTCAATGTGAGTGGGAACCTGGGCACGGACCCAAGACCAGTTGGGGGTAGTAAAACACTTTTTATACCAATGGATAAAAAGCTGTTTCCAGATATTAGCTGCCTTATTTTTGTCCTGTGCGTCGTGTCCGGGAGCATTCTCCCGTCGTTATGCCTCTGATCTGTAGTAATTTTTATACCTTGTTATCTCTCAGGTTCAGCTGTTTTTTTGTTTTTTGTTTTTTTGCAAAGACATGGCAAGGGAAGAAGGTTGGCATAGCTGGCTGCCTCGCCCTTTTAAATCTATGCTTCTCAGAGCACAGCGTGATGCCACCTCTGAGGTTCAAACGGTGTATGAGAAGGAGGGGCAGAGAGAAAGTGGAGTCAATTCAGTTTTGATCGCCACGATGTCAAAAAGATGTGGAGACTCTAGAAAGAGTGCAGAGAAGAGCAACAAAGAGGATTAGGGGACTGGAGGCTAAAACATATGAAGAACGGTTGCAGGAACTGGGTATGTCTAGTTTAATGAAAAGAAGGACCAGGGGAGACATGATAGCAGTCTTCCAATACTTGAGGGGCTTCCACAAAGAAGAGGGAGTCAAGCTATTCTCCAAAGCACCTGAGGGCAGGACAAGAAGCAACAGGTGGAAACTAACCAAGGAGAGAAGCAACCTAGAACTAAGGAGAAATTTCCTGACAGTGAGAACAATTAATCAATGGAACAACTTGCCTCCAGAAATTGTGGATGCTCCAACACTGGAAGTTTTTAAGAAGATGTTGGATAACCATTTGTCTGAAGTGGTGTAGGGTGTCCTGCCTAGGCAGGGGGTTGGACTAGAAGACCTCCAAGGTCCCTTCCAACTCTGTTATTCTATTCTATTCTATTCTATTCTATTCTATTCTATTCTATTCTATTCTAATTCTATTCTATGCTATGCTATGCTATGCTATGCTATGCTATGCTATGCTATGTATTCTATTCTATTCTATTCTATTCTATTCTATTCTATTCTATTCTAATTTGTGATCCTGGTCTTTTGCACCTGTTGCATGATGCCTCTCCAATTTTTATTTTTATTTTTTTTGGGTGTGTGTGGAATGCTTGCACTTAGAAAACAGCTCTATATTTTCCTGTTTTTTCCTTTCTTTTCTGCTTTCCCTTTGATTTTCGGTGTTGTGTTTCCACCCCCCCACACACATACCCCTTTGACTTCAGAATTTTTTGACGGAACATCTTTATTGCTTGTATTTACATTTCCGATTTATTGCTGCGCTGCCCAGGGAACGCGAATTACTTAGATATATAAAAGCATAATAAAGAGGCAAATAAAAGCTGCCTTTTTAAAGAACGCCGTGCCCATTAGGAGACATCCTAAGCCACGAACCGCAGAAAGCATTACAGAAAGAGATCTCGTGAAGGGCAATAAAAGTGATTGAGAGGAAAGGTCGTGTCCAATCATAACAATTCTCCGCAATTAGGCGTTTCTTCCAGCCTGCAAAACTTACTCATCCACTGCTGATTGTGTTAACGGGGACAGAGAAAGCAATTGTTAAGGCTCAGGTACATTCAGCTATAAATGCAGGAGTCTGCAGTCCCATTTCTGACCCAATGTCACCGTGACCTACACTGCGAGATGGACTGTATAAAAAGCCCTTTTCCAGGAAGACTTTAAAGCAGCCACTTCAGAGGGAGGGCAGCTGCCGTGGCCTCACTCTAGGCTTTCTGGAAAGGGAAGGAGGGGGGGAAAAAAAACCCCAATGAAATTTCAACCTGCCAGCTTCCCCCAAGCGCATCCTCTTTTCTTCCAGACCTCTGGGAAAAGATTTGGCCATCAGAAAAGAACCTTTTGCCCTGCCAGCAAAATCTTTCAGCTCCCCGCCACTCACTGCCTAGAGTGGATATTTTTCA